GGTTAAAGGGGGTGGGAGGAAAAGGAGGGATGAATCATTGTTGTTTTTTTATTTCTCTTTTTAAATCTTTTCCTAAAATTATGAATCAAATGCAAACCTAAAAGAAGTATATAGTTAAGAGAACCAGCCCTCGAGACAAGCGGACAAAGTCATTATTTTGGGCCCCAAATTAAGGCTAAAAAATAGGGGCCATAAAAAATACTTAAGGTTTATTGTTTTTGTTTTTGTTAGACATCAATTAAATGGAGGGCCCCGTTATTTTGATTTTAACTAACAAAACTCATATAAATCCAATTCTCACCACCGAACTCGAAAACAAAATTATTTTTATTGGTGATGGAGAATCGCAATTATTTTGATTTCCATGTACAAAAATCTAACAAAGTCCAACACTTAATATCAAATCTAAAAATAAAATTATTTTTATTAGTGGAGAGTTGAAAGTAATTAATTTCATTTTTCCAAACTTCTCCTCAAACCAATTCACCATTCTAAGATTGATTTTTTTTAGATTCTCTCTATATACCTTCAAATTTTGTATTATTATATGTTCTACTTTAATTGTTTGTTAAATTTATTTAAAAATTGAAATTCCTAAAATTTGAAATGATTATTGCTTGTTGGATTGTGAATTGGATTGTTTATTTAATCAAACTTTATTAAAAGTTTTTTTTTTGGTACATAACTTTCTTGAAAGAATTTTATTTACATATGAAAAATAAGAGAACAATAATGTTAGAGCCGCAACCGTTCATTTTTTTTTTAATATTATAACTCTATATTTTTGTTTGATATATATATATATATATGTTTGTGTAAGTTAAAATATAAAACAGCAAGATTAGATTTTATCTTCTCAACTTTTTGTTTATTTTTAAAATAAATTTATTTTTTAAAGTGATTCGTAAAAATATAGAGGTTTAATATCAGCTAAAGAGAAAGCCAAGAAGTTGGGAAGCAAAGTTGAAAATAAGGTATAAATTTTAACGGATTGTCCTATTCATAAATGACTTTTTACAGAATCCAAGCAATAAGTTCTATGGATTGATGATTCAACTCTACTAGTCTATGCTTTAAAAAACAAAAGAAATTAATAATAAGTCCTTACAAGTTTGGCCGTGAATGACGGGGTTGAGAGACAAATTCCTTCTCATGCAATTTTTAAAAATCACTGCTAACCGAATTTCTGTTACATTTCATAATTCTTAATAATTAATTAATCAATTAAACAAGGAAAGAAAAATGAGTTTTCTGAAAAATACTTGGTGACTCGAATTTGAATGGCTCAAATATGTCAAAACGACGTTATCTTTGTACGAGCAAGAAATAATCTTTTCGTATAATCCTGTCGATCAAGTCTGCGCTCCTCCAAACGTCGTCGCTTTATTCCCTGAAAACACAAACGTGAGCTAGCCGGCGGGTGTGTGCCGGATACCTCTCCGATGCCTAAGTCAGCAAAATAGACAAATAGACAAAAGTTCTGTGTATTCGAGGATCAAAGTTGTGTTACCTCTCCATATGTGATGTTATGAGCTTTTATAGGTTCCGCGTGGCATAATCCTAGTAGGACTCTTATTCCTCCATGCAAAGTCCTTCTAGGAATCACACTCCTGAAGGATAATGCTTATCCGTCAACACCCCCCTCACTGCTTAAACCAAGTGAGATGGTTTTACCTCGGTTGGATGTCAATACGACCGAGCTAACATGACCACGCTAAAGTCGCAGACTAGACCAAGCTCCAACTAGCTCGGTTCTTCCTTTCACTGCGTGCGCCTCGGTTTGACATACTCCAACTAGGCTGTTCATTTAGTACCGAGCTAACCAAGCTTGGCGCTCCAATGCACAATGCCAAGCTAGCTAAGTTCTTGTGCAGTTGTACCTCGGTTGCCTGTTGAAACCATGCTATCCGTAGCGTGCCTAGACCGAGCTATTCAACAACAAGGTCCTAAGAAAAGGCCTACAATACCTCAGCTCAGTCTGGTTTGACCGAGCTAACTGCCGCCACCTTGACCATGCCGACCGAGCTAACTACAAAGCTCCTTTGGACCGGGCTAACTTCAAGGCCTTTTACTCAGTCTATTCTGTGGCCCGCAGAATGGCCCATTACCCAGCTCGGCCCAATTTACACATAAATTACTCTCTCAATTACCCCTTAATTCCATCTTGCGCAGCATGATAGGGATTATCTTTTACTAGCCGAACTAAAAACTTCAGCTTTTCAACCGAGCTAAATTCACACTGAGCTTCCCATCTGTCCGATCAAAACGTCTCTTCAGTCGCTGTAACTGAATCGCTTCTTATTCTAAGAACACGTGGCACATTTTCATTGGCTCAATGCAGCTGTCACGCCGTTTTCGTATTTCGCGTATTTTGAACAGTCCCGCCCAATTTCTCCTTCTTTACACAAAAACTATTCATTTTGAATCTATCATGTCTACTATTCATCATTTTCTCTCTCTTTGAGCTTCTTCTCCCTTGTTCTCTTGCAACTGCGGAGCTCGTGTTCTTGCTGGGATCTTTTCCACCTTTGGTCCCTCCATTTTGAACTGGTATGTGACTCAAATCTCTTTCTTTTTCGTTGATTTCGCACTTGTTTTGTAATGCATAACATGCGTTTTTGTATGTTTTTTCAAAACATATGCCATGTTTGCTTCCACTTTTTTGTGAAAAACCATGTAATAGAACCACTAGTACTCACGAATAATTTCAAGAACGATGTATTTGATCCCAAATCACACACCAACCGAACTAGGAAGTTGTTTGTATTAGGTGTGAACCCAACCAAACTAAACAACCAAACTAACACTTCATGTCATACTTGTAGTTTCAATAAGTCTAAATACCTTGTGCTTCACTGGCCGAGCTAGCGGACTACCTTAGGCTCGCGCAGTACTGTGCTAGAAAGCCTCAACCACCAACCGAGCTATAACTTGGGCTAAACCTGCTCCCTTAATCAAAACTGAACTAGGAATACTGCTCCAATGGTTTTAACCGAGCTAAAGTCTCGCTCAAACCGAGCTAAGAACAATAGTACCCCACGTAGCCGAGTTAGGACTTTATTTATCTTTCCTTTGTTTCTTTTAGCACGGTCCAACGATCTGTGCTTAACACCTTTCTTTTATACTTTGCAGACTCTGTCTAGGTTTCCCAGGCACTCCTTTGAACGTTCGACCGAGATATCCAACATCTTCTCAGCGCCGAGCTAACACTTAGGCTAATTTATACATAATTTAAACACATATGGGAAAGTATGGGTTTTTAGTAAACTCACCAGGTGCTATGGCCGAGTTCCGAAGGGACTACCATATCCCTGATGATGTCCATCTCACCCTAGCCGAACTAGATGTCACACCTTGGGAAAACCCTGGTTTTGTTCCCTTTACCCTTCTTTCCATTGTAGAAACCAGACTAAGATTCCCTGTACAGCCCCTTCTTTGCAACTTCCTCAGACAAACCAACCTCTGCCTTACCCAACTTTCCACAAATTCATACCCGCATAATAAATGGCATCGCCGAGCTAAACAACCGGGCTGGCCTTAATCTCGGTCTAGCCGAGCTCTTCCACTAATATTCTATAGGATCGGCTGAAGATGGCTGAGTTTACTATTTAAGAATAAGGCGCTGGCGTGAAAAGATAATAAAGAATACCCCAGATAAGGACGTAAACGATGATGATTTCTTCTGAGTATCTGAGAATTTTGAGGACCAACAAGCCCAGATCCCGGGCGACAGAATAAATTGGAACAAGGGTGTAGCCGATAGGATTACCTCGGCTCAATTCCATGCTTTCTTTTACCTCGGTTTTCTTATGTTGAACCGCACTGACTGTTGTTTTCTTGTCTTCATACAGATTTGAACTTTCTCAAGTCCCAGTACAGCTACCCCAACCTGAACACACTTCGCGCCGCACTCCGATATCCAAACAGGAGCTGGGCCAAGCTACTGAATTTTGAACCGACCTACCGATATTGTAACCGTAGGAAGACCAGGGTGACCGATTTCCTCTTAGAGCCATCCCCAGAACCTGATCCTTCCCTTCCACAAATCAACTTGATCCCATTGACTGCGGAGTAAGAGATGGCCAAGAAAAGAGCAGTAAGGGCCCTTCTAACCGAAACAAACCAGGCCGAGGTACCACCAGCTACAAGATAAAGTGTCTTCCATGTTTTGACAATAATCTTCATCTAAACGTAGATAATAAACATATGATTTTGTTTAGTGATCTGGTGATATATGAGCATATTAGATACTAATTTGACAGAAATTAAGACTTATACAGTGGGTACCCGCAAAGCCAACATGATTCACCAGCTTTAAATTGTAACACAATTAAATTTATAGCATTAATAGCAAATAACCATAAACACAGTGGAAAATAATATGACAATAATAAGATTCAAAGAATTAATAAACTTATGAGACATCTAAAAGCCAATATCTGAGATGTGGTTGAGACAATTTCGTAAAACAGTCCTGTTTAACTAATTAAAAAAGAGAAAATTTTATTAACATGTCTACTTTGTGTGTGTGAAGAGATGGAGCACGATGGTGTTTTGGAAAACCACCTCCGATTTCTCTCAAACTTAGTCCACGCACCTGATCAGCCTGCATGTGAGGCTGCTAAGATACATACATACCCAGCTGCAGCAACCACAGATTCACAGCTAGAGGCAGAGCCATCACTGCAGAAGAAGTCAATCCAATGGTGATGAATGCAACACTATCTCTATAATCGTGAATCTTTTTTTTATTTATAGGTAATATGTAATTATGAGCATATAATTAAAAGTATACACTCCAAAGTTTAGAGAAAATTGGACACTAAAAACATACTCCCATGTTGAAAATTGGATTGCTTCCCCTGGGTTCCCAACATGAACATCAAGGCTTACATAAACTACATGACCAATCAAAAAAGGAGTAAAGAGACTTCAAAATGGACATCACAAGGTACAAATTCACCCACAACAAAACAAAGTTATCAGAGGGATGTGATATCTCATTTCTTAGCAAGCAGCTTTTTTGGAAGCTTCTCCAAAGGTGTGGTTTTGAGAAGGAAGAGCCTGGCAGCACGCTCTTGCAATGTACCCCCGCATTTCAACCCACGTGATTGCAGCTCCGATTTTAACCTTTCCATACCAAGAACCTAAAAGATCATACCAGAAAAATTCGAAATGTTAGTTGCTGTCAACGCTGCAAAAGTAGACGGCCTGTGTCAGCTTTATAATGGACTACAATAAGACATCATAAATATAAAACTGGCAAGATAATTTTACAAGTGCAATGTGAAATTTTGCAAATTATAACTTTATGCTGTTTCTTTCCCTCTCTATAGGACATTATGAAATCAGAGAGACACGTTATTCAATAAACACGGTTCAAGAACAGACACAGTTTCAACTAACAGGCTAAGGCCATCTTCTTTTGCAGAATGCATTGCTCCCTCAACATTGCATCAACTACTACGGTTCCCAACAGAGCATGGGATTGAAGAAGTCAGAGGAGATCAACTGCAGGCAAAAAGTTGCTTCATGGCAGCAATGAAGTCTACTTGCTGCATTCAAGAGCCAAAAGAGGCAGAGATTGAAGATGGGGACATGGAGGTCCTAGATGATGTCGGCAAGGAGCCAACCGAAAAGAGTGAAAAGACACTAAAGAAAATCCTTGTCCAGGAGGACGACAAAGAACGCTTCTTTCTTCTCGGCTCAGGCTTAGCCGAAGAAGAGGAAAGCGAACCGGAAGATTTTTTGAGAGCCAACATTGAGGTGTTCGCTTGGACACCTTACGAAATGCCTGGAATTAACCCCGAGGTCACTTGCCACAGACTAAATGTCGACAGGTCGGCAAAACCTGTGATTCAACGAGCCAGAAGACCGACGTTGATGCACGTCGAAGCAGTAGAAGAAGAAGTAGACAGACTTCTAGAGGCCAGGGCCATCCGAGAAGTTCACTACCCGACATGGCTGTCCAACACAGTAGTAGTGAAGAAGAAGAACGACAAATTGAGGGTCTGTGTAGACTTTACCAGCCTCAACAAGGCCTGCCCCAAAGACAGCTTTCCTCTGCCCAAGATTGACCAGCTAGTAAATGCAACTTCAGGGCATGAAAGAATGAGTTTTTTGGATGCATACAGGGGGTACCACCAGATTGCCATGTACCTTCCAGACGAGGAGAAGACCGCGTTCATCACCCCTAAAAGCCTGTACTGTTACAAGGTAATGCCTTTCGGGTTGAAAAACGCAGGAGCAACTTACCAAAGGTTAGTAACAAAGATGTTCAAGCACCTGATTGGCAAAACAATAGAAGTCTACATCGATGACATGGTCGTGAAGACCAAGGAATCAAAGGGTCATCTTGCCGACCTAAAAAAGGTCTTTGATACACTCAAAACATACCGGCTCCGACTCAACGCATCAAAGTATGCGTTTAGAGTTGGATCAGGTAAGTTTTTAGGGTATCTGGTAACAAGAAAGGGCATTGAGGCTAGCCCAGACCAAATCAAGGCCATCCTAGAGCTGAAGAGCTCGACGTCGGCAAAACATGTTCAGATGCTTACTGGAAAGGCCGCAGCCCTAAACAGATTCATCAGCAGAAGCTCAGATAAGTGCAGACCCTTCTTCAACCTGGTGAAAAAAGCCACAAACTTTCTGTGGACAGAAGAATGCGAAGCCGTTTTGACCGACCTGAAGAAGTACTTGACCACAACTCCGGTTCTTTCCAATCCAGAACCAGGGGAAGAACTGTTTTTGTACTTGACAGTTTCAGAACACGCAGTCAGTGTAGTACTAATCCGAGAAGAAAAAAGGGAGCAAAAGGCCGTTTACTATGTAAGCAAAACCTTGGCCAACGCAGAAACAAGGTATCTACCACTGGAGAAATTAATGCTAGCCTTAGTAATGGCTTCAAAGAAGTTGAACCATTACTTTCAGGCGCATAAAATTGTGGTCTTAACAGAGCATCCACTGAAGTCCTTATTGCAGTAAGGAGACTTAACATGAAGGATAGCAAGATGAGCCGTAGCCCTAGGTCAGTATGACCTGGAGTTCAGGCCGAGAACAGCAATTAAAGGCCAAGTTTTGGCCGACTTCGTGGCAGAATTCACCTCCGAAACCACCGAACATCGGGCTCCGTTGAGCCAGGATGAGTATTGTCCCAGCAAGCAAGGAGAATCTCAGCCATAGACAAAAGAGCAGAGGAAGGAAAAACTCAGACCCTGCAGGATCTACATCGGCGACTCATTCAGACTGTTTGTCGATGGAAGTTCGAACCGACAAGGAGCAGGAGCAGGAGTACTGCTGATATCTCCAGATGGAGAAATAATAGAACAGTCCATCCGTCTGGGGTTCTAGGCCTCAAACAATAAAGTGGAATACGAAGCATTAATTGCAGGACTAAAACTAGCAGCAGCAGCAGAAGCAGATGAGGTAATAGTTTTTTGTGATTCACAACTTATTGTTAACCAATCAACAGGTGAATTTGCAGCCAGAGACGAAAGAATGTCGACATATGCAAAAAAGGTCATCAGATTAGCAGCCTTATTTCAGAACTGCAGATTACTCCAAGTTAGCCGAGATGACAACACCCACGCCGACGCGTTGGCTAACCTGGCAAGTTCGATGCAAACTGGAAAAACAAGGACAATTATGATCGACTATATGTCGGGCCCGAGCATAGAACCACGGAGCATAGAAAAGGAAGCAATGTGTGTGGACATGGGGCCAAGCTGGATGGATGCAATTGTTGCATTCCTGAAAGAAGAAAAGCTGCCAGAAAAAAAGCTGCCAGAAGATCGTAAGGAGGCACACAAAGTCAGACTGAAATCGGCAAGATTCTATCTGATAAAAGATGGACACCTCTACAGAAGGTCCTTCACTGGACCACTTTTAAGGTGCGTACACCCTTTGCAGGTTGAAGATTTCCTGTATGAAATTCATGAAGGAACTTGTGGAAGCCATGCTGGGGGCAGATCATTAGCCCACAGGGCCATTACCCAGGGGTATTGGTGGCCCTACATGCAGAAGGATGCTGAAGCCTACGTAAAGAAGTGTGAATAATGCCAAAAGTTTGCACCTTTGATACATCAGCCAGCTGCTGACCTAAACCCAGTGTCCAGCCATTGGCCGTTTGCCCAATGGGGCATAGATCTGGTTGGGAAACTTCCCCAGGCAACTGGACAGAGAAAATACTTGCTGGTGGCAATAGATTACTTTACAAAGTAGATAGAGGCAGAACCTCTTGCCAAAATCTGAGATGTGGACGTCAAGAACTTTATATGGAGAAACATCATCACCAGATTTGGGATTCCAAGAGCAATAGTTGCCGACAACGGAACACAGTTTGACAGCAAACTCATCAAGAACTTTTGTGCGAAATTCAAGATCAAGAATTACTTTTCAACACCAAGTTTTCTCCAAAGTAATGGGCAAGCAGAAGCATCCAACAAAGTAATTTTGGATGGAATAAAGAAGAGGCTGCAGGCATCAAAAGGAAAGTGGGTAGACGAGTTGCCCAACGTTCTTTGGGCACATCGGACTACGCTGAGAAAATCAACAGGGGAATCCCTCTTTGCCGTGGCTTATGGCACAGAAGCTGTTATCCCATTGGAGATCGGCATCACAGGGATCAGGACCCAAGGAGTAGAGAATGGCACCAACGACATACTCTTAGCCCGAGATCTGGATCTTTTGAAAGAACGAAGGGAGAAAGCTGCAATTCAGCTCGCAGTATACCAGCAACAGCTTGCTAGAGCTTACAACAAGAAGGTCAATCTAAGAGATTTTCAAGTCGGTGACCTAGTCCTAAGAAAAGTCATCGGCAACAAGAAAGATCCCAGAGAGGGCAAGCTTGGCCCAAATTGGGAAGGACCCTACAGAATTACTTCGGTATTAGGCGATGGAGCTTATCGGCTAGAAGATAACGAGGGCAAAGCACTGCCAAGACCTTGGAACACTTGTAATTTGAAATTCTTCTATCATTAGATGTGCAGTATTTTTGGCCGATGTCATCAATAAAATCTTTTCCCTTTTCTTAAAACACATATATTTGATAAAGTTACATATTGGTGTTTTTTGGAAACATGAATAATAAGAACCCAAGTAGAACTCATGTTCACATTGGGGACAGAGAAAAGACAGATTATTCCTTAATTTACTTGTTGAAATTTGTAGCAATTTACAAGTTGGAATTAAGCTGATTCCTTATCTTCACTTGTTGAAATTTGTAGCAATTTACAAGTAGATCATTGTTATAACTTGAGAAAAATTTACAGTATATGTTAACACTTGTTGAAATTTGCAGCAATTTACAAGTAGGTTAGACCGAGATCACTGTTTAATATTTGCTGAAACTTGGAAAAAGTTTGCAAAATTGACATTGAATAGTATATGTTTTACACTTGTTGAAACTTATGAAAAGTTTGCAGGTCAGTATCTTGCCGAAGTAAAACTTGTAGTTATTAAACCCGAGATACATGACCCCGAGAAGATTGCATAAAGGTGGCAAGATATGAAAGGCATACAAAATATTCTAAGTATAGAACCATGCAGAAGCAAATCAAGAGAAATTAAAAGATTGAAGCATCTATAGAAAAACAGTTGCAGTTGTATACAAAAGAAGGCATTACGGCCTACCAGAAGTAAATTGTTTCGAAGTAACAAAGAAAGGCACATCGGCCATGAGAGGAAGCTTACATTATCCAGAAAACAAAACAAAGTACAAGGGTGCAAAAGAAAAAACATGAAAGTTAAGACTTTTCAACATCAGCATCTGGCTGAATCTGAACCTCAGAAGTCTCCTGAAGAGATACCTCGGCTTCCTTATCCACAGCAACTTCGGCATCAATCTCGGCAAGAGTTTCGTCAATACTCTTGTTGACCTGAGGAACGTCGGACAAACCCTGCTCCGGGGTAGCTTCCTTGGCAACTGCATCATCATCTTCATCTTGAGTCAGGTCCAAGACCTGCTCATTCAGAGAAGGAGACTTAGCCCCAACAGCCTCCCTGGGCTTCCTTACCAAAGTTTCAGCCTCATCCTCGTCCTCACCTCCATCTTCATCCTCAGATTCAGAGGCATCCTCAGGTTGACTTGGAGGTGGAGGTGGAGGTGGTGGGAAGTGAAGAGGGATAGCATCGGCATTGCGGAAAGGTGAATCAGCAAGAAGATCAAGTTTCTTTATCAGGGACATCCAACCAAGGGAGAAGCCCCTGTTGCATGCCTGCCTGACCTGAAGTTTGTATTCTTCAGTGACGTCAGCCATACCCTGGGCGTATGCCTTTTCGTCGGCCTCCTTAATTTCGACATCCTTGGTGGCCAGGGCCTCCTACAGTTCCTTTTCGGCCTGGGCCTTTCTATCCTCGGCCTCTATCTTCTCGGCTTCAGCAACCTTCCTTATGGCCTCGGCTGATTCAGCTTTTTCCTCGGCTATCTGTTGGGCCTTAGTTGCAGCCTCGGCTTGGTCTTCCAGCTTATTCATTTTTAGTTGAAGACCTTTGTTGGTCTTCTGCAGGGCAGAAAACTCCTTCTTCATCTCGGTCATTTTTTCCCAATTCTTAAAAGATTGCATTGAAAACGAATGGGCATGCTGGATAGCCTGAAAGAAAATAGAAGTGTTAGAAAATATTTTAAGTATGAAACAGAATGAAAATAGAAAGTTGAAAGCAGGAGCACTTACTTGAACGGAGTGTTGGAGTATTAATGCGTAGTTCTCATACTCACTGTACTCAGTATTTCGCTCCAGGTCCCCTGGAAGGAGAAGAGCGAGCGGTGCTAAGGGCGACGCCGACATTAATGTCATCGGCGCTTTCACTAGACATGATTGGCCTGTCCTCCAAAGTAATCTTTGGGGCCCAGGGGACGTCGGGTTTTTTGGACCCCGAAGCCGTTGCAGAAGACGACCTCGCTTTCTTTGACTTTGAAGATTCTGCTGGCTGTATTTCAGCTGACCTTTTTGCAGTAGCAGAAGAAGTCTTCTTACTCCTAGCCAATTGTGAAATTGGCAGAGTATCTTCAGTCTCAACTACAGTGGCTTTAGCCTTGGGCTGAGCCTTTTTGACTCTTTTTGGATTTGGTGGGGGCATGGACTGAGCTGGAGCAGTATCAACATCGGCAGGTAGGTCGGCTAAGAGATCAATAGCAATAGGCTTCGGGCGACCCATCTCAGCAGTCTTGACAAGTCGTCGCCGACGTTTTCTTTCTGGTATTGGGATTAAGTATGGGGCTGAAGTAGGATGGCAGATCAGCTAGGTCAGAAGTGGATCCTTGGTCTGCTCGTGATGTGGAAGCAGTGGGAAGAGTTATAGCAGAAGGTGGAGAAAGACTCTTCTTCTTCTTCTTCGGGACGTCGGGCAGAGTGGATTTGTATGTAGGAATAAAGTTCAGAAGAAGAGGTGCTTTCCTTTTGTGGACAAGCAAGTCTAGGAGCTTTTTCAGGTCCTTGCTAGGAACGTAAGATTAGCGAAAGTCTTTCGCTGGTTTGCGAACGTCTGCAAGAAAAAACAGACATTAAAAACAGATAAGAAATTGAAGATTTGAAAAGAAACAACTAAGTAAATAACACTGGGCTCTTACCCTTGCCCTCTTGAACCGTTCGAGGAAGAGGGTATAGATGGACATCTTCGTCTGGGGCAAATTCCCAATTTCCAGAAACAATGAAGTAGTCATCTCCAGCCCTGTTGTTGGAGTCTGGGAGGTCGGCTACGATTTTGAATTCAGTGGACCTCGGCTTGAGGTAGTAGACGTAACCTTTTTCCTTCAGGCTAAGGGGGCACATGGTGTAACAATACTGTATGTCGGCTAGGGTGATTCTAACATTTTCTTGTCTGGCTAAGGCGATGATACCAAAAATCACTCGATAAGAGTTTATGGCAAGTTGCATAGGGTTCAACTTATAATAATGCAGAATCTCGTGAAAAAGAATGTTAAATGGAAGCCGAAGTCCACACTCAGTAAAGGCTACAATAGGGAGAGGCATGGTGTTTTCGGTAGGCATGATGGAGTCATCATCCCCAGCCAGTTTCAGGTGGACATCGGTAGGGACGGAGAACTCCTACCTAAAGTACTCAAGTTTGGTCGGGGTATTAACCCTATGTCTCCACATACCCATGACGGCGGCCTAAAGACAGAAGGCTAGATTTTGGAAAGAAGGTGCTCTTAAGGGGTTATCGGGACCTCGGTGAAAACCTAGGTATATGCTGGTAAGGATTGTTTTCAGTTTTCCCTAAAAATTGAAGGTTCTATAGACAAAACCCAAACTTAAATCTATGAAGACAAAAATTAAAAGCAGAAATCTGGAAAACAAGAAACAAAGAACGACGTTTCAGAATCAAAGAACAGAGGTATGGTTCTCAGAAGCGAAAGAAATACAGAAGTAAAAGATCAAGAACAGTGACAAGAAAAGTGTTGAAACAGTACAAGTGTTCAAAATATGAGTGAAATCATGGAATAGACGCATCCAGATGAATAGTTCAGCAAATCAACGGTTTGAACAGAGCAATAATGACAGTAAGTAAACGAAAGCACATAGAAGAAATTGGGAGTGAGAGGAACAGAGGCTTACCAGAACAAATGAGGCCGGAATGAAAGTCACCGAGATAAGGCAACGATTACGGACACGATGGAACGGCGAAACCCTCACTGGAATGGATAATGAAGAAGGTTGCAGAGCTTGAAACAAGAGTAATGGCGGATTTGGGAAAGTTTAAGAGAGAGAGAAAACCAGAAAATCAAGTGCAAAAGTGAAGAAACGAAGAAAGAGAGTAAAGTTTTATCAAAAACTTGAAACGGCGGCAAAACACGACATTTATTGCGCCTGGAGGAACGCGTGCGTCAGACGGCGCAGATGGATGAAAGACGGCTTATGAGCGCGTCACAGACACGGGCCAATGAAGATAGAACACAAGCACGTGAGGGGAACGGTTGAGAAAAGGTGCATGACAGCTCATGCGCGTGGAGGAGTTCGTTTGAGTTCTTGTTCTTTGATGAAGGCATGTCGGCCTAAAATGAATGATCTCGGCCAAAAAAATTCTCACGCCAAGGTACTGGAAGAAAATACAGATATAGGTTCCATCACCTCAGAATGCCGAGGTAATAGAACCTAGGGGGCAGTTGTGGGGATGTATTTTCTGAATACCAACACGTGGCATGGTGACGCCGACGTGTCAGCCGAGGTGTCACGTGTCCTGGTAGTTATGCCGAGGTTACCTAGGCAAGGCCGAGGTGATCTCTGAAGATATCGGAATCCGAGATAAGCGGATAAGGGACAAGAGTCCTAGAGTAAAGAGAAGACTTTGCTGAGATAAGGATAAAGCTCTTAGGGAGTTTATCTTTATCTCTTGAGGAGTCCAAAGTAAGTACTAAATTGGAGTCCATAGAAGTCAAGCTTCTAGTAGGGCTAGGATTTAGTAAACTATAAAAAAGAGGCACCCACGTGGGTCTAAGGTACGCAGTTTTATACTCAAGCTTGTGAGTTTAGCGCTTGATTATCTTTAAGAGATATACTGACTCCGGGTGGAAGAGCCACCGCCGAAGCCTTTTCTTTCTGTTACAGGTTTGCTGAAGCCATCTATTCTGCTGGTGCTCTCCAGCTGATTACTAAGCGGACAGTGTGGTCAGAAAATCACCCACACACTAACTTACCTATTTTATATGAACTCAATTTGACAAATATTTCTTTTCCATATATTTTTCATGATAAATTAAGATAATCCACAAACCCAATACCAATTTTACGTTTCAAGTTTTTCTTTTTAATTCTTTTAAGGGTATTACAATTTTTTTAATACTAAATTGCCTTTTTTTTCCTTCTTATTTTCCCGTGCGTTATTCTATACCCAATATTAATTCTATATTATTCTATAGTATGGATTTGTTTAAATTTTATAATGATTCTATATATGAAATTATACTTCATTTTCCATATTATTTTATATAATCACAACTCACAGAAAGAAAAACTTGTATAATAATGATACGCTTGGAGAATTTCTAAAATTTAGATTTACTGTTTAAGTTACTTTTTCAATTGTTGAATAGTAAGTTTTTTTTTTATGTTTTGATATCATATTACAGATAATTAATCACTTCACACACTGAGATGTATCTATCGTTTGGATGTTTTCATTATTTTTTCCTTTTGGGTTTAGATGTTATTATGTGATTCTCTTGATTAGTCGTTTTTTAATTTTTTTTATATAGTTGATATTTTAATATAATTAAGAGTATTTATTTTATAATTTTATAATTTAATACATATTATACAAAATTATTATAAAATTTCTTCTCAAATCTCCTAGTTAACACAGCGTAAAAGTTTAGCCCTTTATTTTCCTTAGAAAGTCTACAATAATTAGCGGCAATTTTATTTCAGAAACTCCCTTAAGCCCTCATTTGTGATGAACTACTTTAGTTTGGTTTTTTTAATTATTTTAATTTGATTAAAAAGTTGTGTTTAGAATAAAGAAAAAGTGAAATGATTATTAAGAGGGGAGTTTTGTGTTGTGCTAAAGAGGCCGAGATACGATGGGCCAAGTTTTGTCCACCGCTTTGTGGGTTAGCTGGGCCACACCAAAGGCGGGCTTGGGAATGGCTTACAAAGTTAACCGAGCTTCCTCTGACTAGGCGAGGTATTCTTCATGTGAATCAAGCTAAGCCAACTGTGCTGAGTAGGACCAAGCAGAATGTGATCCTTGAGTCGAGTGGCAGCTCGACGCTGGACTCATGGGCAAAGATCATAGGCTTAACCAAACTATCGGTAGCTCAGCCAAGGGATGCGCGGTTGGGGGTTACTTGTGCCCTAGCAGTTGGTGGGGGACAGATAGTGATCTATTCAAGTTAGTTCTATTGATAGTCAAAAAATTAAAAAGTTACTAAAATAATCTGTTCCCAACTGAGGCAAGCTGTTGTGCAGGGCACAACAAACTTTAGACCTTTTGGTACAGTTTTTATCAACTTAAAATTTGATGATTAAAAAATATGAATTAAAAGTATTTTTTTCCTTCTAATTTTTGGATAATTATGATTTTTTTTTTAAATTTATGTAAATTATTTATACTTCATAACATATAAGCACAAGTCACATCAAAATTCTAACACAAGTTTAAACAAATAAATAAAAATGCAACTGAATTAGCTGCCCTCCTTTGTGAAATCATACGCGACAAAGTGTTTGATAATGGTTTAAGATCCATT